ATTTGTATATTTTATAAATAAGCAAAATCTTATTCTTTTGTCTTGAGATTGGCATTCCAGGGTATGCTGGGATGCTCTGTCTATAAAGACAGATCTGAAGATGGTACGTGGTGTTGGCAATGGGCCACGCAGACCATGAAACTAACTCCCTTAGTGAGGAGATCATTCTGGTTTTCAGCTTAGCAGACTATTTCCTCCAACAAATCAGACTCACGGGCCTGGGATCTCACTGTCCTCTGCACCATCTATCAGACCCTTCTCAGCTCTTTCCCAGCGGACACTCCTTCACAGCTGGCAAGTCATCAGCTCCCTTGTAATTTCAGTCATCTTCAGGCCAAACTTGGAGTAAACACTGGACTTCTTTAGCTCTGTGACTCCAGACCAGACACGAGCTTCTGAGGCAGCACAGCTGTTCCTGCTCCCCAGGAACTTCTTCCTTCCGCTCTCACTGGAACTCAGCTGGTCCATCCTGGAGCAGAACCTGGCAACGCCTCTGTCGTCTACAAGGCAACTTCGCTATCTTGCCCTTTCTCCAGCAGGAAGAGTCTCTACCCTTCCGAGTCCAAACAGAGCAGAATCCCCCAATGCAGGAAAGAAACTTACTTTAACACCAACAATAGCCACGGGGGGGGGGGGGGGGAGTGGAATAGCTACAGATACCAAAAGTAGTTTTCTAGAATTAAAAAAAAAAAAAAATGAATGAAAGCAATTCTCTTCCCAGAAATTGAACAGAGTTCAAGAATAAAGACAACAGGTAATGGTGCGGCATGCTCAGAATTGTTGCCAAATGAACAGGTAATCCTGGCCTTGCTGTGGGAGGGGAGCACAGAATGACATGTATATTTGTCTCCCTAATCACTTACTGCATATGGATCCCACAACATCATGCTGCCTGCCTCAAATAGATATAATTTTAAAAAGTTAAAACATGGGCTGGAGAGATGGCTCAGCAGTTAGAAACACTCGCTGCTCTTGCGGAGAACCTGTGTTCAGTTCCCAGTACCCACAGAGTGGCTCATAATCATGGGCTGTAACTCCAGTTCCAGGATCTCTAGCGCCCTCTTCTGGCCTCCATGGCACCAAGCACACATGTGGTACACAAGGAGGCAAACACTCATCCACATAAAATTAAAACTCTATCTATTCTAATAAGTCCTCCCTCCCTGGGGAGCTTTCTTACTATCCTCTCTTTCTCAATAGGGACCTTAAGAATGGCGCTGTAGCTCCCGTCCTGCGTCCTTTTAGGAAGGACTTCTTTGCATGCAACCCTATAAAACCTTCTCCCCATAAAGCTTATTTATACTAAAGAAAGGAAAAGCAGGTTTTGCGGACCATTCCGTGCTGGTAAGATATGAGGGCCGCCATTGCTCTCTCATTGCAGGGATCGAAACACTCCAGAAATGGTAACCTAAAGGAGAAAGGGTCTAGTTGGCTTACAGTCCCAGAGGAATACAGTCGTCCCCCATGGCACAGAAAACAGGACAGCAGCAGGAACAGGCACCGTGACAGGGACAGGAGGCTGGCAGGTCACACTGCACCCGAACTCAGCAAACAGGAAATGAAACAGCACAAGAGAGCTTCAAGGCCACCATCTGGGGACAGAGCATTCAACCACAGGAGCCTAATGGGACATTTCACACTGCAACCACAGCAACGGGGAGATGGCCTTCTTGCACACCGCAGAGCAGCAGGCATCCCGGACAGTCACGGAGTGGACCGTCCATTTAAGGCCCTTCCATCCCTCCTTCTACTGTGCCTAGCTATCATTTCTAGAATTTAGGGTAAATAGTATCTTATAATCAGAGAAAATAAAGTACTGTCCCAAAATCCAAATAATATCACTAAGCCTTTGGGTAAAACAAAGCTTAAACACGACCTTCTCTTTAGAGATTTTTTTTTCTATTTCTACCAAAAATACCACTTTTTTTCTCCCCCACGCCCCACCCAGATTCCCATATCCATTGGTCAGTCACTCCCTGAGCCCACATCACTGTAGCATCGTCCAGTGCTGCAAGGAAGGGGTTTCTCTTGTTTTGCCCCCTATGTGCTAGTAATTGCTGGAGAACCCAAGATGCTGAATTCGCATTGGAGTAGCCAGGTTACACTTGAGATGGCCTCTCCAGCCCCAAATGCTCTTAAATACTTTCCAAGTGCTACACAATCAAGGGACAAAAGGCCTGGACGTCTCCAGTGTACATCTCCCAAGAGTATTAGGAACTGAAGGCCCAAGGACCTACTCACTTCTAAGGCTCCAAATTCATCGTCAACAACGGCAAATCCTGTCTATTCAAGGCATATCTAATAACAAATCTCAAATTCCTAAGCTATTGTTCGCAGGCGCTGCAGAAGGTCAGTTACCACATACAAATACTGTATTTTAACACATGCTGGGGTCCCCCCAGCGGAGCTCTCCCTCCGGTGTTTGTGTTACTTGTGTCGAGCATCGACAGACCTGCAGAGCTTCAGGGAGCTGCAGAGGAATGTCCAGGGGGCGCCTGTCTATTTGCAGGCCTCAGTATTTTTGTGGAATTGCTGAGTTCTCAGTATTTGTGGTGGTGGTGGTGGTGGTGGTTGCTGTGGTTGGAGATTCTTTTGGGGCAAACGCAAAATTTAGCAATCACTCCACAAAGGCTTTCCGAGGTGTGTTCTAGATTAGTCCTCTCATTAAGCTGATAAATCAAGAGATCTCTTTTGTCCAGAAGTCAAATCATCATCATTACCTTGCCCTTGCCTTCTGGAGAAAAGGACCTTCCACGCCATTTCTTCTTCTCTAGGGCATCGATTCAGCATGGAGCTATTGTTTCAAAGCCAGGGGAAAATGTATTCTTTTCACAGGTTTATTCCTTCAGCTGGAATTTGTTTAAGTGGTCTCCCCTGCACAAACACAAAAAAGCCCTAATACATGCAGACTGGGTCGGCCTCATGCCATCGGATGTCACCGCTGATGGCTGATGGCACTTATATAGATTTACACAACAAAAACTACATTAAAAATGTTCAGGTGGGGGAGACAAAGGCACAAAGGCCTGGAAATTCACAGCCCGGATTTAAACATACTATATCTAAGAGGAATGGCGTGCATTAGGGTAATGGGCCGGTGACAGGGTCTTTATTGTACCTAGGTCCCAGACACTTAATCCCTCACAGAACTTCCTGGTGGCATTTCCTTTGTCTCCTTTTGGGGGGCTTATGTTTTTTAATGGCATTATTATTGTGTAAATGCTCTTATTTTATAAAGTAATTTCAGGCTGATTAGCATCTGTTTATGCAATTAGTGTAATTATACCTAATTACAGAGTAGAAACAACAAATGTAATTAGTTTATTAGAGGTACAACTGTGATAGGTAGTGATTTTTAAATCCTTATGAAACTTTATTAACAAATATCTCATGAAGGTGAAAGCTAAATATTTAGATGCCAGCTCTCTCGTATTATGTACATATATATTTATTTCACAAGCTCAGCAGTAATTAGACCTACTGCTTGTCAAATTTAGTGCTAAAAAAATCATAGTGCCATTTTAGAAGAGATACAAATATAAAAACTGTGCTTGGGAAAATGAGAAGCACTCACTGGTATTTTTCTTTATGGTTTGGTTTTGTAAATCTCTCTTTAGTTAAGATGTCTTATACAGAGTGTCACCCACAGGTGACCGTAAAGTTATAAGGCCCACGGAGATTTACCATACCACCACAACATATGACACCCGCCTGTGTCACATGGCACTGCTGAGGAAATTGTCCCTTTACCCTTGGGTTGCGTTTCTCCATTTGATTATAAGCCAAAGTGGAATTAAAAGATGAACTGGGGGCTGGAGAGATGTTGGTCAGTACAGTGCTTACCACACAAGTGTGAGGACCTGAGGTCACTCCCACAGGAAAAAGCCGAGTGCAGACGTGCGCACCACAATCCCAATGGTGAGAAGGCAGAGGTGGGATCCCTGGAGCTTGCTGGCCAGTTGTTCTAGCCAAATTGATCCAGGCGCAGTAACAGACTCTGTCTCAAACACTGAATGACTGAGGTAGACACCTGTCTTGTCAGGTTTCTGTTGCTGTGATAAAACACCATGACCAGGGGCTGGAGAGATGGCTCAGAGGTTAAGGGTCCTGGCTATTTTTCCAGAGGTCCTGAGTTCAATTCCCAGCAACCACATGGTGGCTCACAACCATCTGTAATGAGATCTGGCGCCCTCTTCTGGCATGCATGCAGATAGAACACTGTATACATAACAAAATAAATCTTAGAAAAAAAAAATCTCCCTCCCCCCAAAAAACCACACACACACACACACACACACACACACCATGACCAAAACGAACTTGGGGAAGAAAAGGTTTATTTTGTCTTATGCATCCATATCACATTCCATCATCAAAGAAAGTCAGGGCAGGAACTTGGAGGCAGGAGCTGATGCAGAGGCCATGGAGTGTCATTCACTAGCTTGCATCTCATGGCTTTCTCAGCCTACTTTCTGATCTACTCCAGGACCACCAGCCCAGGGGTAGCACTGTCCACAATGGGCTGAGCCCTCCCACACCAATCATCAACCAAGAGAATGAGCCCACAGGCTTGCCATAGCCTAATTTGGTAGGGGCATTTTCTCAATTGAGATTCTCTCTTCCAAAATGACTTCCACTTGTGTCAGATCAGCAAAACACTAGCCAGCACAACACCTAATGTCTGTGTCCACACACGTACATATACACGTATGCATACCAGCATGAGCGTGAGCTCAAACACACACACACACATACACATACATACACACAAGATGAACTAAAACTGTGCTAACTTAAAAAAGACAACAACAAAGAAAACTCAAAAACATCACAAAATACATTTGCTTCCAAAATCCTCCACTGAAACACAAACATAAGAGATACCCGCCAATGCAGACCGTCTCACTGATTTCCTTATTAAATTACTTCTGTTATTGGTCAATAAAGAAAATATTCTTTTAAAATGTTTTATTATATTTTATTTATTTTATGTGCAAATACATGTGAGTGTGGAAGTCAGAGGACAACGTGTAGGAGTCAATTCTCTCTTTCCACCGTGTGGGTCCTGGTCACCTGATTTGGCCGCAAGCACCTTCACCCACTCAGCCATCTTGTTGGCACAAGAGAATATTTTTCGGTTATCCCTTCCCTAACACTGAAGCTAAAATGAAATGTAGTATAAATAAACGATATGCCAAGATTTACCATACTTGAATGATGTGGGACACATGCCCTTGTGGATGAAAAAAAAAGATCAAGTCTTTTCAGTTAGGATGTTGTTCTTCTCCTCTTGGGTATATAAAACTCTGCACTACAGTTCCCAGCTTCATCCCAAGGGTCACATGATCTCAGCGTTCGGTCTGCAAAGAAACAGCAAAAGGATTCCGGGCTTCAACCATAATTGAAGCAAAATTTCACATCACAACCTGTTGCTCAGACAATTATGCTTTTTAGAATTACCCTGTGTGTGCTCAATCTGTGTTTTTAGTTGTTTAATTAATAGAACAACAGTCTTCTTCAAGATTCAAAGTCAAATATGTTTTGACTTAAAAATCAGTGGCAACTCTCATCATTCTGAAAAGAAAAGAAGCAAATATGTTCATTGGTTTCTTTATTTCACTGTTTAAATTTTTTTTAAAAAATAACCCTCTTGATCTAGACTTCTCTGTGATTGACATGCATGAAAATTATAACACATGATACATATTAGGGTGAACCTTTGCAGAAGATAAAGTCCAGGCCTTGCAATTCTTGTATTCCCCCGTGGCACCATGAATACTTTGCATAAGGAAATGCTCAGTACATAATTATTGAATGGGAAGAGTGAATGAATGAATGAATGAATGAATGAATGAATGAATGAATGGCATATCAAGTTATATGTCATGGTTTGAATCTGGGGTGGCCCCCATAAGGCTCATATTTTCAGCATGCATCCCTACCTGTGGGACTTTATTAGTAGGCTAGGGAGCCTTCAGAAGGCAGGGCCAGGATGGAGGAAGTGGGCCCCTGGGGGTGGACCTTTGAAGGCTCTACCTGCCCCTTGTTCCATCCACCTGCATTCTTTACTTCCTGCCCACACCGTATAAACACAGCTGGTCCCTGTTCCCACTGCCACGCCTTCCCCGTCATGACGGACTGAAGGCTTTCTAAAAGCACAGACCAAAACCCCAGGCCGGAGAGCTGGCTCCATGGGTAAAAGTGCCTGCATGGAGATCTGAATTCAGATCCCGGCACCCATGTCAGAAGCTGGGCATGGCTGCCCAGGCACCCATAACCCCAGCGCTGTGGCGGGCAGAGACCAGAGGATCCCTGGGGCTCGCTGGCCACCAGCGGAGCTCCAGGTTCAGCGAGAGATGCTACCTCAAGGAGAAAAGGCTGAGAATAATGAAGTGGGACATCCCAGGTCCTCTTCTGGACTCTGAATATTTACATAGCACATGTTCCCACGTATCATATTTACACACATACATACACACACAGAAAAGAATTTTCTACTAAAGAAAATGTTTTATCTTTTCCTGAGCCTGACTAGGGCAGCAGCCTAACAGTGATGTCTAAAGAAACAGCTCTGCAGTTAAGAGAACTTACTGTTTTCACACAGGACCCCGGTTCAGTTCCTAGCGCCCACATAAGGTGGCTCACAGATGTAACTCCAGTTCCGGGGATGGGATGCATGCGCTCTGGCCCCCTGGCGTACCTACACACACACACACACACACACACACACACACACACACACACACGGTACACATATACATATTCTTTAAAAGTCCTTTTCTCCTCCTAAGTTGCTTCTGCCGGGTATTTTCACACCAACACGAAAGGTAACAAGAACAATATGCAACTCACTTTTTTACAGAGTAAGCACATGGAAAATAGCTTTTTCCCCCCACTTGTATTTTCTCTTTGCTCCTTTGTTTAAAGGGACTTATAAGTTGATATTTTAAAAGCCAACTATCTAGACCATCCTCCCCATGGAGGTGTTTAATTGTCTAATGACACACAAAATCTTAACAATGTGTCTGGCACAAGGCAGTTACGGGAAAATATTAGTTCCTCGATGTTCGGGAGATAGTGACTTCCTTCAAAAAGCCTTCTGTCAATCAATCAATCATCAAACAAACAAACAACAACAACAAAAAGGACTAAGACAAAATCACAGTGACAGAGGAGGGGGGGAGGGGGAGGGGAGGAGGAAGAGGAAGCAGCGGCAGCAGCTGGTCCCCCTGACAAGCGTTAAGTATTATAAGTATTAATAATCCTCCCTTCCGGACCATCCTCACCTGGCTTCACCCCAGGTGGCACAGCCTGGATTTGGGGAAGAGGCTACATAAAGAAAGAGTCATAGATCCTGAAGGGCTCTCTCGGCAGGCTGTCTGGGGTCTTGAGGCTTGGTGCTCTCTCTGTACTAGGGTCCACTGATGCAGTGGTTTGATCTTGGAGACCAATTTACTGTGTAAAGGAGACAACTAGTGTATGTCAACTTGAGAAGATTGTGACTCCAGTTCCCATAGACCAAACACACTTGTTCCCCTCCCCTGCTACACCCATCAATGCTATAAAATGGACTTGGCAGTCAACACCGAGGGAGCACATCTGTAAACGCCGAGGAGAGACTAAACATAAAAGAGATTTCTTTCCCATCTGGACTTCAGAGTGAAGACAAAGTCAGCAGAATAAGGAGTGAGCTGTAGGAAACCAGCTCCTCCTTCTCACCTAAGAAGTGTGTATTCCCCAGTCCCACTCAGGGTGGATGTGTCGCACTCTTCTATCTTGTGGCCTAGACACGAACCCAGCATCCAAGGAAGAAAGGCAGATGCACACTTTCCAGAATACAGGCTAGTGCTACCAACTGCTTTCCACTGTGCCTGGCTCCTAGGGAGGCTGGGTTACTCCAGCTTAAAATCTGTAAAGGGCCTCCAGAGGATGGGCTGAACATCACAGCTAGTATCAGCGGCCAAGTGGCTCCCCGGAAGCATCCAGGATTCCCAGCAGACTTGTCTGACCAAACATCGAGTGTAGCCTTCTAAATGTGGATGAAGTGGAAAAAAAAAAAAAAAGATGGATAACCATTCAGTCAGTGGGTGGGTTATTTTTATTGTTTTCTTTTATGCATATACATGTTCTTGTGTGTAGGAGTGGGATATACATAAACATGTGTATACATGGAAGCCAGAACACAATGTCAAATGTCTTCCTCACCTGTTCTCCACCTGTATTTTGAGACAGGATCTCTCACTCAGCCTAGAGTTCACAAGTGTGCCGTCTTGCAGTCCCTAAGGGTGGTCCTGCCTCCACCTCCCTAAGGCTAGGATTTCAAGCTTTTGTCACCAGGCTCTGCTTTCCCCCATCCCACCCCCACCCCACCCCCCACCCCCACCCCACCCACCCACCCACCCCCCCGCCACCGCCCCCATGGGTGCCGGGTATCTATGAAGCACTTACCTACTGAGCTACCTCCTGACCCAACACAAGTTGTTGTTCTGTGTTCAGATGAAGACAGCATTGCTTATCTTTGCCCTCTGAGTCCCATCCCTAAGTGTAATAACCACCACAACTTCTGGAAAGTTCCGCAGTCTCTGGTTCTGAGAGTACCAGTATCCTTCTCTGAGTCCATCATTGCTTGCTGGGGCGGGGGAGCCTGTCACACTGAACAAGATGGCGCCGTGTTAAGGTTCCACAGACGACTTTCTGCACTTGCCCCCTTAAACTGTGAGTTGAAAGCTTAGAGATTAAAAATGGAAATGGTTCCCTGGCTTCATCCTAACGTGGCATTTACACACTCTTCCATGCCATGTGAGCACACTCACTCACCAGACTGGCATCCATCCTCCACACAGCGGAGCGCCTAGAAAAGCGTTATTCTTTCCAGGTGTGCCTGCCTGGGTTATTTATGGCCTGACTTCCTTTCCGAGTGTGAGAAACCTTAGCCTCCCGCCAGCTGCAAGGGATTGTTAAGAAGCATTTTTAAGTGAAAAAATATAGAGAGCGACACTTCTTTTCTTCCTCCCCCGCCCTGCCCCGAAGCCAACCACACTCCACGCACCTCCCTGTGTCAGTTAGTCAATGACATGTCTAAAGAGGCATTTAACTGTACTCACCATCAAAGACGCTGCCCCATGCCGGCAACAGTGTATTAACTTAATGAATTCCAGAAAGGACAGGGAAGAAGGTACCGTTAGCTCGGCCCAAGTTACCCTTCCTGAGACCACTCATCACTGGTGGTGAAAACACAGACATGTGCTTTCCTCCCACTCTTTATTGTAGAGATGCCCGATGGGGGGGGCCTGAGAGCATGGAGACTCGGATGAACTCGAGGCCAAAGATGAACCCCAGTGTGCGAAGAGGCCCTGTGACACTGACATGGTTTGTTCGCCTACACTGACTTGAAATGCTCCCTCATTCGTGAACAAAACGGAAAGGGCCCCAGCGGTGATGCCTTCGCTGCAAGGTGGCATGAAAGTTGCTTTAAGCAAAGCTCACCAGTTGCTTCTTAGTGAGCATGTTCTTTAAGTAGATGGAAGGAACAGAAGCTGGGCCTGGTCCTACAAGCCTGCCACCTCAGCCTCTCCTGAGGCTGAGGTAGGAGAAGCCCAAAGCTCAAGACCAGCTTGGATAATTTCAAATATAAATTATCCTGAAAGAGGGGCTGGAGATGTAGCTGGGTGGTAGAGCGCATCCTAGCATGTGCGAGGTCCTAGGTTCAATGCACGGTACTACAAAAAACAAAAGATAAAGTAATTTATTAAAGATAAAGTTCCAATACCACAAAAAAAATAGTATCTGATAGGATTTTTTATATCCCTATATTAGGTTTCTCCGCCGTCTCAGTAAGCCAGATTAAGTCGAATTAAAAAGACCAGGTTTAAGGAGCCAAGCACTCTTGGGTGACCTTTCTAGCTCCCTAGAGGTGGTGGGAGATCACATGGCAGGTCTTGGAACAGAGGGGGCGGTGCTTAAATACCTTGTAGGCACAGTCTTGAGCTTTGGGGGAGGAGCCTGGATGTTTGCGGTCTTTCTGAGGTGGGCAGGGTCTGGAGAGGGAGGAATGGAACTGAGAGGCAGACTTTCCAACCAAACATTCCCAACCATCTTGGATATGTGGGTACTGGTTCAAGTCTGGCTACTTCCTGTTGGCACAAGATGACATGGGGAGGGGGAATTGGGAGTCAGTGGGGCTCCCGCTCATCAGGAGGTATGGGTGAGGAAGCATCTGGTTAAGGATCATGACCTCAGGAATCTGTTTCTTGAGGAAGAAGAGAAGGCGAGTTGCTAGGAGAAAAAAAAATAGATTATTAACACCAGCCCTATGAACAGGGCTAGCCATGTGAAGAGTGGAGACTGCCAGAAAGAATGGAATGGAGATGTGCCCTGATTGTACAGGAAAGGCAAGGGTAAATGCCAGGACAGAAGAGCAGATAGGCCCTTCACTGGGATGTTTTGGAAAACTTCAGGGTGGAGTGTCCCAGTTGCTGGGCAGACTTAGATAGGTGCCCACTGGAGCCTGGAGACATAGTACCAGTGCTGATATCCTAGGAGCTTGTGAGGATATGGAATTTCCAGGAGATGCTGAGGGCTTCAGACACAAGCTCAATGACCCTGGAAGTGAAGGTTGGGTGTTGTCCGCTTGGATAGTCCGTGGCATGCCAAATAGCCAAACCAAGGGATGATGTGTTCAAGGAGTACCTGAGCCACCACATCTGCTCTATCCCTGGGGATGGGAAATGCCTCCACCCATCCTGTAAAGGTGTCAACAGATGACTCCAGAATATGCCTTCCACAGCAAAATCTGCAGATGCTGGAATCATATAAAATGGCAGAGTGATGTTTAAATAAAAATGACCAGCCCAGCAAGAGAAACTCAGTGGGTAAAGGTGCTTGCCACTAAGTGTGATACCCCAAGTTCAATTCTAAAAACCTATATGGCAGAAGGGGAGAACCAACTCTAGAAAGTTATCCTCTGACCTACACACACACACACACACACACACACACACACTAAAAAATAAATTTTTAAATGTCAGAATAAGTAGGACATGGTAGCAAACACCTGTAATCCCAGTACTTGGGAGGCTAAAGCAGGAGGATTATAGGCAGTTCAAAGCCATGCTGGGTTACATAGTGAATTCTAGGCTAGCCTGGGCTATGTAGAGAAACCATGTCTCAAAAGAAATGTAAGTAAGTAGTAAATAGTAATAATAGTAATAATGGCTAAATGGTGATGTGTTTACATACAACCCATGCACATATGCTCTACCATTGAATGAGGCTCCCCCTTAGCCTTTCCCCTGTGTATCTAACTCATGTGTAGATTACTGTCTAAACAGTTCCTGCAGTATACGATTTCAAGAATTATGACAAGGTATCCATGTCTACAACTGATAAAAATCTTTTCCAAATATGTTTAGTATGCTATTGAAGCCCATGAGTACAGAATCCACAGATATGAAGGGCTGACTACATACTCTAACTTAAATAATTTTTCACAGGCAAGCAGAGCTTGGTTCTAAAGTAACTGGTTCAACTCTCCAATATATGTAGTCTTGGGGCCTAGAAAGACGGCTCCATGATTGGGGGCACTTACCACTTCTGCAGAGGATCTGGGTTCAGTTCCCAGCACCCACATGGTGGCTCACAACTGCCTGTAACTGTAGTACCAGAGAATCCAACACCCTCTTGGGCCTATGAGGGAACTAGGCACGCATGTAGTGCACTTATATGCAGGCAAAACATCCATGCAAATAAAATAAAAATAAATGACTCTTTTAAAGAATAAATGTACTGAGTTCAGATAACTTTTGAAATGTTTCTGAAAAGACAAACATTAAACTAATTGGCACAATCTTTCATAGCAATTATGACTTGTGAAAAGGCAAAAGCACGTGGCTGATGGCAGAGATGAGGAATAGCTGACAATCACCCACGTGGAAAGATTGACAGGACCTGAAATTTGAAATAACAAATTATTGAATGCAACAACGTGAGTCTCGGGAAAATTTGAGCCCTCAACTAATAAGATCACAGAGTAGCTATGTTTCTTGCAACAGAAAATTCACTTTTATTGGGTAGGTGTGGCTCTAAAAAATTGCCACATAATTTAGAGATCTGCGGGAATCTTTGGTATTTGGGAACCTGGAGGAGCCTTTGGAAAAAGCTCATCACAGCTCCTTTCAATCTTGGAGGAAGCTGGCACTTTCTGCAATGGAGTTGTTAAACAGCCTGGCCATGCCAAAATTCATCATAGCACTGCCCCAGGGAGGCTGCGAGCTGCCTGACCCAGTAGCTCCGAGTGCGCCTGGAACAAAAGGCTAGCATCAATTTCAAAAGGAACCCTAGGAAGCATCCGGGAGGATGCGGAGTGTTGAGGTGGAAGGCGGCAGGCAGTGGGAGTGAGGAAGCACTAGCCGAGGAAGGCAGAGTGGGTGTGTGGGAAGGAGGCCTGGACGAGCGGGCTTGCTGCGAAGCAGCACACAGGATCGCTAGGCAATGGTCTGTTTCCACACAAGCATCACAGAGTTGACTACAAAGCGGTGAAGATAGAACACAGTGAAGAATGTGTCTCACACAGAGAAATGACAAAAAGAAAAAGAGGAAGCAGGGAGGGACTGAAAGGAGGAAGCAAAGAGAGGGGAGAAAAGGAAGAAGAGGGGGGAAGGAGAGAGCGGGCGAAAAGGATGAGGGTGGGGAGAGAACGGAGAGGCCAGAAGGGAGGGGGAAGCCATGAAGGAGGCGGAGGAGGACGGGAGCGGCAGGGCAAAGGGGATGGGGAAGGAAGAGGAGAGGGGCTGAGAGGATGGAAAACAGGAAGGAGGCAAAGAAAAGAGGAAGGGGGTTAAAAGATGGGATAAGGAGCAAGGAGAGGGGACTGGGAGAAAGGAGAGGGAGTAAAGGTCAGAGTGTAAGAGAAGACATTTGAAGAAAAGGGTCAGCAAACCCAGTCTCCAGAAAGGCTGGCTAACGGCAGGCCACTGGTGTGTGTGCTGTCAAGATGTACCAAATGTCTCGAGCATCCAAATCTCTATCAGTTAATTATTTTATTAATGCCATTCAAGGCTTAACACTACTCACACGGGACTGTAAATAGCGATGATAACGACATCCAGGTTGGTGTCAAAGAAGCTGAAGGTTTTATGTAAAACACAGCCTACAAGCAGCAGATGACAGGTTACAAACCTTTACATCACACCAAGGAAAAAGCCTTACAAAGATCCACAAAACTGCGGCCTTAATATGCAACAGCATCCCCTGCCCCCGATGTCCCTCCAGAATGATTTGTAATCAACCCCTACATTGGGGGGGGGGGGAATCTCAGCACTCAAGAATAGTAAGTAAGAAAGAGTTAATGTACTTTTAAAGAACATAGGATCTTTAACCCTGTCCCTCTACTTTTTTTCCAAAGTGAATTAAAAAGAAAAAGGTTAAAAAAAAAAAAGGATATGATTACCCCACTAGGTATGGGTTAAGGAGGTATGAGGGAGAATACAGCCAGAGGCATTTGGAAGGGTCTAGAATGAACTGGGCCATGAGAGCAGATGGGGGTGAGGGTGGGGCAAGAGAAAAAGAGAAAAGTGTGGGGAGCCATGGACCGAGAGACCAAGGGGCCAAGAGCCCAGAAGGAAAGGTAGCCAAAATGGCTGAGGTTACATGTAGCTAGAATTTTCCTGCCTTGCCCACAGTCAGGACAAATCTTTGTCACCCGCCAGTCCCACAGCTGCTCAGACCCAACCAAGTAAACACAGAGACTTATATTGGTTACAAACTGTATGGCCGTGGCAGGCTTCTTGCTAACTGTTCTTATCTTGCTAACTGTGCTTTTATCTTAAATTAATCCATTCCCATAAATCTATACCTTGCCACGTGGCTGGTGGCTTACCGGCGTCTTCACATGTTGCTGGTCATGGCGGTGTCTGGCAGTGTCTCTCTGCCTCAGCCTTCCGCTTCCCAGAATTCTCCTCTCTCCTTGTCCCACCTACTTCCTGCCTGGCCACTGGCCAATCAGTGTTTTATTTATTGACCAATCAGAGCAATTTGACATACAGACCATCCCACAGCAGTTACACAGGGATCAAAGGCCGGGGGACAGGAAGCCCAGTGACTTTAGGGTAGAAGGTGGGATATGCCAGCCTGGGGGACCCTGTACCAGGTAGGAACTGAGGGAGAGTGGTGGCCAGAATCTGCTTTGATGTGTTAAACGGGCATCTTGGCCATTTGTCCTGGGTTTCTTTGGGACCTAACTCACAGCTGAAGCCCGTTTTTGATTCATGGACTGTGTATTTAAAAACCAACAATGTTAATGTAAAAACAGGCGGTTGCTTTCAATCATTTAAAAATTAGTTATGAATAATTACTGCCCAGTCATTGGTGTTCACATAATTAGGAGTTTGAGCAGTCTTGGTGGGCTAGACGTCTTCCAGGGCATCTCCAACAAGATAAACTTGAAGCTTTCAGACCCACCACTGACCACAGAGATCATTCCGCCTGGTGCAGTCTGGTAGTTTGCGGAATGTCTTGATTTTATTCAGGCTTAGGAATGAATTTGTCCTTCCCCTCTTCCCCAAAGATATCAAAATCCAAGAAGGCTCGAGTTTATTATATTAATAGTGCATTTATTATCTGTGCGCAGTGTGTGTACATCTCCCATATACTTTAAATCAACTCTCACTTATGATGCCTAACACAGGGTAAATGTTAAGTAAAGCACTGTTCTACCACACAGGATAGAAAATAGTGGCGAGTCGGGGCAAGTCTATACATGTTCAATACCGACTTTTCAAAAGCTTTGTTCTGAGGTTGGCTGAGTCTATGGATCCAGAATCCGTAGCCATGGATGGTCAAGCACACATTGCTACAGGAATTACAACCAACTCTGCCAGGCATCTTAGCTCACCAAGTGATAGGACAAGCTTTCATTTTCTGAAAACTTCAGACTCCAGACACATTCTTGTTGCGTAGTTTTTTTGCTGGTGGGGAAGGGATGAGGGAGTTGTGGAGGGTTAAAGCTCAGTTTGAGTGACTTATTTCCTGAGATGGAACCAGGTATGATGGTTTGGATATGAAAGTCTCCCAGCAGACTCCTGTGTTAAAACGTTTGGTTACCCAGCTGCTGGCCCTGTTTCGGGAGCCAGTGGGACTGTGATCTCTAGGATACACATGTGTGAGTCAGAAGGAGCCGGCCTTAAAGGCCTGGCTCTGGTTCTGACCTCCCACTCCCACTACCCCAGACTGAGTCCCTCCTCCATGCCTTCCCACCACACCAGCCTCAGTGTCTGAAACCATGAACCAAAAGCCCTTCCTCCCTTAGGGTGCTTCAGGCAGGTCGCAGAAGTGAGAAAACTAACACACCAATCAAGAGGCAAAACTGTAATTTGAACCAGACTCTGAATCCAAATCTTACAAGATGATTCAAGGAAGTCCAAACCAAGGTTCAGCCAACCAACTCTGAAGTTGTGAAAACAGATATGACAAAGACTCTATAATTTGACATGTAAATCACACTTTAAAGGCACAGTAGATGTCAAAGCATTATGTATCCACTTTGAAACCAAACACCAGCACTCCGCTGAAACAATGGCCTCCCAGTAAGTCTGCTTCACTTAAAAGGTTCAATAAGCTCCCGAATGCCAGCAAGTGTTTTTGGCTGATGTGGGGAGGTGGTCTGGCAATCTCCTAGCCTGGGAGAGTTGGTTAATTGTTTGTCCGAGGAGAAACTTAAGTCCTTTCAAGCACTGTCTTGAGTAAGCGTTGCCATGGGAAAGCCCGAGTATGCCACGTTTCATAGTGGTTGCACAGCTACCGGAGAGAGCCCAGGGAGGAGTCTTTGTCCCCAGCTGCCAGCCACACCCTATCCCCAGGCAGCTGTCTTCCTTTATGAGCTACCAGTCAGGACAGGAAGTGTGGATGATGCAGCACAAAGCCTGGCCATTTAACACGGCAGCAAAGAGAGCCCTGCCTTGGACAGTGGGTAGAAATAGATGG